CGTTTCAGACAAGTGCACATTCAAAATTCTTAGCTATTCCTCTGAATAGAATTTTCTTCTACTGTTGCTGAATGCTGCAAATTTTACAAAACAATGCAGTTGACATCCTAATGTCACCAAATGCTCATCCAGAAGGAGCAATGCTTCAAGTCATCGACTCAGTGCAAATGACCAGGTCATCTTAAATAGGAAAGTGCCTTTTAATGACAACAAAATAATAATTAAACATACATCAATTTAGAGTAAGATAAAAAGGTAAAATATTGCTTATTGCTGTAGCTTTGGACTTAAATAGACATGCACCCCATGTCCAGTTTTAGTGTTATAAACTACGATGACAAATTAAAACATGTGCCTCCTCACTCCTCCAAGACTGTAAACATGTTGTTTTGCATGAACTGGCATTTTATAAAAAGATAAAAGGGCTGTAGAGAGCACAGTGTCTACCTTGCTTTGTTTTTTACTCCTTCTATTTGCAAAAGGGAGTCAAAACAGAGCATTTAATGGGAGCCGACACTATGGGGAACTTCATGTCACTAGAGACAACCCAGCAAATTAGCTGATAATTAAATTTTTCTCCATTAGGGAAAGAGCAGAGTAATAACTCACACAGTAGGACTCCACACTCCATTAATGTCTCTATTTTCTTCATGTCGGAGGATAAAGGAGCAAGACGGCAATGTCAATGACTCAAAAACACTAGAAGTCATGAGTAGATGGGGGATGTCAACATTCACATATAGGCTTTTAGAGAATAAAGTGTTATGATTTTGTTTACGTATTGCTTTTAGTGTGTCAAACAGAAACAGTAAAACAGGTCTAGCTGTGGCACTGACCGCATGGTTTTTATTTCCAACACAGGTGGGTAATTCTCGGGGACTGAGTGCATCTACTTATGTGTGAGCGTGCTTGTAATCAGCCAGCTGTTGAAGGGGCTTTTGCCTCCAGCTGTTAGCCTGGTGATGACAGTGGTCCATGGCCCCACCTTCATGCTCACTGATCCGAGTAATTACCTCGTCCATCTGACCCCCTCACCTCAGACACGACGTGGCGGCTGTGATGCTGAGGCTAAGGCGACTGTCACAACAACGGCAATGACTAGACTGTGAAAACTCTACTGAGTACACTTTATAAACAGATTTTAAATAGATTTATCATGGAGGTCATCTTAAATCAGGATCCAAAAGTTGTCATTAAAGCTAAAATGATGCTCATTGAGAAATTATCAGAGCAACAATTAAAAAGAAGAAGCAATTGAAAAAAATAATTACGTTGCACACAGGGACAGCTCTGACAAAAAAAGGCTTCAGCAACTAATTTCTACAAAAACACTGAAGCAGGAAACTCTAGCTTAGCCAAATATAGTCTTTTTTTCTACTATTACTTCTTTCTAACTCTCTCTATAGCTTCCATCCAGTGAGAAAAGGGACCCGGATGATGAGTAATTTCACAGCTGAAAGACTTTCCTGTCCCTGATTTGCTATCATTTGTAAAAAAAAAAAAAAGAAAAAAAAAGGTAAATCTTCCTACTTTACATATCTCCCCAGTGGGATAAAATGTGTTCTTTTCATCTCATTTTCTGGAATGACGGGAGTGTGCAACAGCAGGCCAATTTCAGCTAGGCCAGACGGGGAAACATGAACGGGAGACCAAATGGATAAAAAGGTAACAATTAAATTAAGACAAAAGCAGTCTGAATTTCCACAAGAAGCTCAGTGATGCATTAATGCTAGCCATGAAACCTGTGCAAATATTTTTCATACTTTGCTATGAACAAACACTGAAAAATGTGGCCTGGCAAAATGCTTTTTCTCAGCTCCCATAATTGAGCAGATATAAAGATTCCTAAGTGGTGCCCCAAACTCTGTTTATCACCAAAAGCAATACCTCAAGTTTGATCTTTCTTCTGGCTCACTTAAATCTTCACATGACTGGGCAGCCTTGCTGTCTCCCAGTTTCACCAATGATCCCCCCTCCCCTCAAAATCCACTTTCAAACTGAAGGGGCTGCGTCAGCTGGTCTGGTCTGAGGATCAATGCCGGGGAAACAGCCTCATAATGGCCTAGATTAATGATGAAAAATTTTGTGTCATCCAGTGGGCTGGTGGAAATCTATCACTGGGGAGGGGGAGGAGTTGCCAGTGGGAACCTCTTGGCACCGCCCTGGCTCATGGGGCTGGTTGCAGGACAAGAAAGTCGTGGCCACTAACATGTCCAGCTGGAGCCCTTATGGAGGAAATCTCAGGGGGATTCACAAGGAGAGGGGTGGACACTCTCTATTTTCATTTCAATATCTAATAGAGCTGCCAGTGCTTCAGTTTAAAAGAAAACGTCTCCAATTAACAGGACAGATGAACACAAGTGGATGGCTTAAGTTTTTGGCTCCAGCTTTTTTAAGTTTATCATCTGTCCAACGTTACAGCCAATAAATCAAATAATGAAAATGTATTTTTAAAAATTTAAAATTATGTTAATTACAGTATTTTAATAAAAAAAATAGTTTTTAATATCAAAAAGTTAAATTCAGACTTTTTTTGTTATAAATTCTAACAAAATTTGTGGGATTTAAGAATGGTTTGGTTTAGTCAAGCTATACTTGTTTTTCTTGTTTGATGTTTGCAGAAACCTTAAAGGTGATATGTTTAACTGTGTTGTATTATGAATTTGTATATCATCTTGAATATGAATATACAAATCTCTGTTTTAAAAGTTCAAATGCAAATATACATCAGTTATACACAGCTTTAACTAGTCGAGCACCACAAATGCTCATTTGGTGGCAAACTGACCTTTTTAACCTTGCAGTCTTTATTTAAGAATATAACATTTCTGGAACACCTCACCAGGGAGACATCCGGCAGGCATCCTAACCAAATGCCCGAGCCACCTCAACTGGCTCCTCTCGATGTGGAGGAGCAGCGGTTCTACTCTGAGTCCTCTACGGATAACTGAGCTCAACACCCTATCTCTAAGGGAGAGCTCAGACACACTACGGAGAAAACTCATTTCAGCCGCTGGAATGCAGGACGCCGCACCAATAAGCCTATTGATCTCCCGCTTCATTTTCCCCTCATTCATGAAAAAGACCCCAAGATACTTAAACTCCTCCACTAGGGGCAGTACATCCTCCCCAATCTGGAGAAGGAACTCAACCCTTTTTCAGCTCAAGACCATGGTCTCAGATTTGGAGGCTCTGATCCTCATCCCGGCAACTTCACACTCGGCTGCAAACCGCTCCAGTGAGAGCTGTAGATCACGCCCTGATGAAGCTAATTGATCCACATCATCTGCAAATAACAGACGCAATCCTAAGACCACCAAATCTGATCCCCTCAACACCTTGGCTGTGCCTAGAATTCCTGTCCATAAAAGATATGAAAAGAATCGGTGACAAAGGGCAACCTTGGAGGAGTTCAACCCTCACCGGAAACGAGTGACCAAACAGTCAGAAACAAAAAATATTTTTAGCTCTCATTTTAAGATTTTTTTTTTTTTATTATTTTGCTATAAATATGAATTCTTGAGACTTGACATTTTTAATTCCAGTAGAAAGGAACAAATTGAACTCTATTGTGGATGTGAGATTCAGTTGTATGTAAAAGAGTGATACAGATCAATTGGAATTGGCTAAAATGGTTTTGGATGTTCAGACTTTTAGAAAAATTGGTGTCAGGACATACAGTGATAAATCTCTAATCGATCCATGTTAATTTAAAGATAGGAAAAAGGTTTTATAACCTCACAGGACATAGGGTAAACATTACAAACCATGTTTATATCTCCTATATTAGTCTTATCTTTTTTTTTTGCGTAACACCTTGTTATCTATGTTCTCTCTCAGACTGTCTCAGTCAATCTGAACATCAATGCTCCTTCAGGGCATCTGTTTAGATTTGTTATTTGCTTCCCTTCTCATTGTTTTCTTCAGCAGTATGCCAGCTTTGACCCTGAGCTCCAGTAATCAGTCAGCCAAGAAAATCTTAGCCAAATGTCACAAGTTTTATGATTATTTTCCCTCCTCCCACTTCAACTAAAGCAACTCTTGGACCATTTCCTTTCCCCAAATACACAATGCCTACCTTCCTCATCAAGTTGACAGCACTCCCAATCCTGTCAAAAAATGTTGGTCTTTACTTTTCTGGCTTTACCACAGCAATAAATCCCTTGAAGTCATTTCAATAATGGACAAAAGGCCTCAATCCAGGAATGTGGAACATAAGCAGATATCCGGTGATGGTGGGTGGTGGTGTGATGAGGGAGCAATTAAATGTGTGGTGCAGGGAGGAGTGCAGGTGTGTGGACTTGTGATAAGGACAGTGGTACCGTCATTACTCATCCAACACCAACAACAGCAAATAGACTGCCAGCAGATGACTGGTTTGCTCTGGCAGCCTTCGAAAGCTTTTTCTCAACCGTAGAGGAGAGTGTGTGGCGGAACAGAGTGGATAAGGAATAGATAGCAAGGAAAAGTGCATTTCATCATGCCAAAGAAGAAGAAGAAAAATGGGCTGTACGTGGTATTGTTGAGGCAAGAATCGTTTAGAAAAACGAGGTGATCATGCCAACTGCCTTTTTTTCAGAGCAATTAAGATTAATTAAGTCCTGCTGATGCACTTCATATTCTCAATGCTGGCTTTGTCATTATCACCAAAGTAGTGTTAAAAAACTAAAACTAAGAATAAAAAAACGGACAAACATAATTTAAAAAGAATCTTCTGAGAATAACACAACAAAAGGAAACAATTACACCATCAGTGAATAAATCAACTTTTAATAATGTCTTAGAAATAGGTAAGACTACATTTGACATAAGACTTTGTGGACGGTGGATATTTATATTTTCAATCCTCCAAACAGTATGTTGTGAGATATGCTCATAAAACTATTATCTGCATAGACATGAAGGGCACATTCACAGAAAAATTGTATGTGTTCTGTTCCACTAAATTTACACACATGGGGCGAGCAAACAAGTTTGCATGTGCTTCAATACTTGCAAACCTTTTGAAGATAAGGCCCATATCGCCTTAGCACAATCATTGAGAATGTATTACCCCGGTAAAGATGTTTAAAAATAATTATTTTTATTATTTTTATTCCTGAACCCATTATCTTAAATATTCTACCATTTAACATTCCCAACATTCCAACTTTTAATTAACGTACCTCTATTTTACCAGAAAAACAACAACCACAAAAAAAAATAAATAGTTTTTAGGAAAATATTTAGTTGATATTTCCACTATCAACTACCTGCACCTCTGTGATTCAACCACAGTCCCAGTGGTTCATCAGCTTGCCCTGAGAATCACTAAGTCTCTGCTCTATTTTGCTGGCCTTAGGGACAAGAACATCCTGTCTGACAATCTACCAGGGTAGCAGCATTAAACAGGTGACAAATTCTGTTTCATGTGTAGCAACATGCATGTAGATGTGCAGGTTCAACCCCTTGACAAGCAATTGAGGCCTCTGAGGAGAGCTAAGGGACTGGGGAAAAGGGCACATCTTGGCTGTGACAAACCCGTTGTCATCTGTGACATTTATCACTGTGTCCTCTCAGAGAGAAATGCCACCATTTCAATTTTCAAATCCAACAATTATTAATGCTATTCAACAGTATTGACAGATTTTTAGCATAATCAGTCCAGATTGGTGACTGGAGAATCAGTGACTAAAAAGCAAATCTTTTTCAAATCCAAAGAATGAAACATAATGCAAACTTTAAGAACATTTTTTTTCGGTGTAAGAGTTATCATATTAGTATTCTATCATCTTGTATCAGTTAGTTGATTAAAATTAAGCCTGCAATGAGGTGCAAGAAGATACTTCAAAATAACCCATATTTCTGTGACATGCTGGAACAGGTCTGCAAATCATTATAAATAAAATGAGTGCAAAAGAAAGCAAGACACAAAACATTTAGTAATACTGATAGCCTTTCAGAAAAATCGAGTTAGAGAAAGCTTGAGAAGTTTCAGCTATGTAGGCTCTCTACTATGAAATTGTGTGTTTTTATCAAAAGATAGTGAAAAGCAAATGCAAAATAAACTTAACTGATGAGACACTTTTTATCCAAAAGCTTGAAAATAGTGTTCAGGACCCACAGTATTAAAACTGCAGACTGAAGCAAGTTCAACAGAGGAGAGAAGTCCAGACAAACGAGCTGTGCCACACAGCTCCATCTCTCTTTGTCACCTGCTTGGCATCGCCTCCCTTTAATTAGCTAGTAGTAATCAAACAAAGGGAGATCAGGACCCTAAAAATACCGTGGGCAGAAAATAAATCCTCAGGGAACACAAAGGGCTTTGTAGAGAAAAACAAAACACTGCAACTGTTTATTATGTTTAATAGGTGTGAGACTGTTGGGATGGTGGGCACAATAAAAAGAGTGAAGGTGGAGCTTATCTCACATTTACTAAATAAGGTTGAGAAAAATAAAATGGTTGCAGTACTAAAACTAAAACCCATTCAGGAAAATGTTCATGCAAAAAAAAAAACAAAAAAAAAAAAAAAACACACAATGAATCCATTATCCTTACTCTTGTTTTTATAAGTTAGAAACAAACAAAGGTTTTAATTGTACATACCTCACTGTTGTAATGCCCATAATAAACCTTTTATGACACAAACTATAGTGGAATACATTCATTATTTCTCACTTGGCTAGTGTCACATTTCCTGAAGTGGAACAATATGGCAACTTGTAAAAACATCACTGTGTTTGAAAAATAAAAATGAGAGTTTTCATTCTCTATTAACAGCTCAGCAGCTAAAGGATTAACTTCAACGTGTCTGTTTAAATTCTCAGTCATCCGGGTCATGGCAACCACAAAACATGCTTAAACTGGAAGGCCACTGCACTTTTGTTCCTTTTTTTATTTTCATCATTTTATTTTTCTAAACTGAGCAAGAATCTGACTTTTGCTGATTAAAAAAAAAAAAAAACTGAGTGGAAAGTCTAGTTACCATCCAACAATGGAAATAAGTAAAAATGAATAAAGTTTAATCTTAGAAAAAATAATAAATGTATTTAAAAATCTGTAAATAATCAATATTTTGTAATCCTACCTTAATTGTCTACGTTAAAGTTGACATTTCAAATTTTACAAAAAGTTTCATTGGAATACTTTTGAGTAGGGTAAATACCTTACTGTGAAAAATATCTTTATCAGAATCGTCAATGCCACAGTTATCCCCCCCCAATAGTTTTAATGGATTTACAGTAACTGAATAAGTCTGTAATTATATATTTTTACTTCAAGTTAATCAGAGTGTGTTTAAATGAATGAACTCTGACTTCCTGTTTCTCTGTAATATAAATCATGAGGGATCTGTGCAAAGAGGATTTGGGGGCAGTGAGAGAAGGAGGCCTCAGCAAACTGATCAATGGAAACTTTAACTGGCTCTGGTGGGGACGTAGAACATGACTCTCTTCACTCTGGAGAGACCCCACAGGGAGATTTGGAAAGCTGGGGTGGTTCTGCTCATCTCCTCCAAACTCATGGGGCTTGCGGGGCTTCTGAAGCTGCAAACAGGTACAGTACCATGAGGCCAAGCATTCCACTGCCCAGTTACTGCCAAAAGGCAAAGTTCTCGATTTACCAGTCTATGTTCTCACTCTCATCTGTAGTCATGAAATCTGGGTCATGACCAAAAGAATGATATCATGGATACAAGTGGCAAGGAGCTTAATTTGCAGGATGGCTAAGCACTCCCTTAGAGATAGGATGAGGAGCTAATCTATCGGGGTGGGGGTGAGGGTACAGCTGCTTCTCCTTCATCGAGAGGAGTAAGCAAATGTGGCTCCAACATCTATTTCGGATACACCTTTCACGTCTTCCTCGGAAGGTGTTCCAGGCGCATGCCACTGGGAGGATGCTGGACGAACTATATCCTCGGCTAGCCCTGGAACGCCATGCGCTTCCCCCAGAGGAGCCAATCGAAATGTCTACAGAAAGGGATTTTGGACGTTTCTGTTTAGACTGCTGCCCCAGCAACCCGGTTCCGCATAAGCAGAAGGCAAAGAGTATAAATAAGGTTACAGGTAGGAGAATGTATGATTATTTTGAGTTGGTTTAACTCCCGTGAAAAAAAGTTCTTATCTTTAATATAATAACCTAAGCCGCATCTATTTGACCTCTTAAATTAATTCATCAGATTGTTTAAATTATCTGGTCTATAATTTAAACATGGCATAGGCCCATCTCTCTTAATCTGCTCTTTATTATGAGAAAGACAAGAGGATGTTTACTTTAATTCAGGTTAAAATCTGTTAAACAAAAGAGCAAAATGAAAACAATTGTATTTTAACATAAACATGAAATTCCTGAGTGCTACCTTACCGTCTTTGTCACTGTTGCCCCCTAAACATAGCAAGGTGTAGCTGGACTTCCACCTCAGTCCTCTCGATTCTAGCCACACATGTCTGGATATGCCTATACATAAAAACGTAATGCTCACACACCACCTTGACCTTTTCCCATGAAAATGATATGTGACAGAGGAAGATCAAAGAGGAGGATTGGGGAGCAGATAGCAACAAGGAACGTGGTTGTGAATTTGAAATCCGGTGTGTGTATCTAAATCAGAGTCTAGATTTAAACTTTGATCAAAGGGTTTTCTTTTTAAAATATATTAGGGATACATTAACACTTATATTTATCAGACACTATAAAAACATATTTACTATACCGCATCCAAAATGAAAAAAAAACAACACATAAAGCGAGCCTTTCCTCTAACAACAGAAGAGGGCATAGAAATAATATTGTGGTTTGTTGTACTGACTGTGGTGTGTTAATGTAGGAGGAGGATTGAGCTGTGGTGTTGTTTTGCTCTGCCTTTGTTTTAGCTAAGATTCAGTGGGCGAAAAAAAGGCCTTCCTAGCTTTGACGAGTGTAATTATGCTTTAAAGAGTGCCGCAGGAGAAAATTCATTACCCAGCAACCCTACTCTGGTTGCACACAGTTTTCTATCTACCCTTTGGCTCTATGCACATAGACAGGGCCCACAGACACAAGCAGCGTAAGCTCCCCACAGACCTGCTTTTGCTACAGGGCTAAAATTCTGTGGTCACAGCTAGCCTTCTCTTATGATCTCCAAAACACCCTATGAATGTACAAATCATTGTACATTTGTTTTACGCTCTTTTAGGAAAAAAGGTATAATAATGATCACATCTACACATAGTAACCAACAGTAACCAATAATCAGTGTAGAAAAGAGAAAGCTGTGATATACTTGAACTTTTAGCATGCGAATATCTTCACTTCCTTTAATGTCTGATCAGTTTTTTTGTTAATCTTTTACAGACTTAGATATGAAGAATTTATCAAATTCATAGAAATAACTGTAAAATCAAACTAAAGCACTGCAAATTGGAATAAAAAGGGTTTTTTTGTTATTTTTTTTTTTTTACAAAAATGAAATGTTAAGTGTAGTATGTATTTAGATCCTCTTAGTACTGTAGATACTTTGTAGAAAAACTATGTGTTTTTAGAGAGTACATACTGTAAACATACAAACATACTGATGTTTTAATTATACATTTATGTAAATGGATTGTCAATTTAAAATCAGAACGTGGATTGATGTGTTGTTACATACCAAGTGTTTACACCTTTACTTCTCTAGGACCCAAAAGATTTTCCCTTTTTTCTTTGCGAAATGGCATAAGTTTGGTTGGACTGGAGGGACATCGTCTTTGGACATATGTTTTTAAGTCTTGGCACAGTCTTTCATTTAGATATACGTCAGGACTTTGGCTTAGCAATCATAACACAAGATAGCTACATAATAAATTTCATTTTCACTTTACAGCCTCTAACAGTTGAGCTCTAGGTATGTCCTGTTTTTAGAGTCACCCATCTTCCCTTCAATTAACAGTGCAATGGATAAGCATTCCCACAAGACAATGGTAACACCATCATGTATTTTTTTCTTTTTCTGTCTGTTGGTAGGTTTGAAGTTGTACTCCTCACATGTTTCGGATAATGACTGAACAGTGCCCACTGAAATATTT